GTTTACCCCCCGCCCAGGCGGGACGACTCCAGCAGCAGCTCAGCCTCCACCACGCTCAGCTCGTTCAGCAGCTGGAAACGCACAGGCAGAAACAACCAGCTGAAAGTAACTTCTGAGTTAAACGGGTAATATAGGTGCAAAAAAAAACATTACGGAAAAACTATACGGCAAACGAAAATGAAACTCCTTACTCACTACAGAACAGGGGAAAGAGGGAGCAAAATAATCTGTTAAAGTATAAGGAACATCCCTCAGAACTGCTCTTCAGAAACACATGGCAGTGCTGGCACTCAGATGCTTTGCTGTGTAATCCGATGGTTCAGTCTGAAGCAGTGAAGCCTGTCCCAAAATACGCTGTGCTAAAGGAATCCAGAATTTTATTGGTTTTGAAAGATTTAAAAAAAAAATACATCTATTGATGTGAAGGGGAAGTATCTGGTACTCTGTTTCAGAGGTCAGGAAACTGAAACAGATAAAAGCACGTGGCAGCAAATCAGGGGAATTTGCAGTCCAGTTCTTGTTTTTTTCTGGTTTTACAGAAAACATATCACAGCTTTATCCTGACATAACCTCCCAAAAAAATGAACTCCTTTCACCTGTATTGCAAAGTCTAGAAGTCCATTGATATTCAGGGCTGGCTCCATGAGATCAAAGATGAGCTGTATGTGGTGAGCCAAGGGAAGATGATACGATGTTCCTGAGGCAAAACTAGTTATCTGTTCGAGAACGTTACTGGAGATCTGTGAAAATAAATGTTGACAAGTCATATGGTGACTGAGGGCTTCTCAGGTACACTAGTGCTCCAAAACTCCTATTTTAAAGTGGTAATAGCAAGTGGCAGCATTTTGCAGGTAGAAGCACTAACAAATCGTGCACATCTATTGCTCTACCATCCTGCAACTCAGTCGCAATGCCATTTTATTTTCAAAATTGACAACACAGAAAATGCTGTTCTGCTTTACAGCTGAGAGTCAAACTGTTCTTAACATCTACAACACTGATTCTTATTACGAGGTATTTGGCTTTAAAGAAGAGGCAAAAATCATTTTTCTTTCCATCTTACTGCACTGTGTTTTTTTAATTGACGGTTTTCAGGTAACTAATAACACGTTATCCTTCAAAAAACATGTTACAAATTCATGCAAAAGTGCAGACCCAAAGATGTCTTATAAATTAAGTACCAAACGTGTACCTCTTACTTTGTTTCTTATGTTAGCCTCTGGTTATTAAAATGTACTCAAAACCAGTCCCACCTGGCAAAGCGATGGAATCCTATGCTGATACATTTGCACGCTTACAAGTCCTTGCATAAACCAAAACTAGGCTTGTCATTTAAAACAAATTATTTCTGTTCTCCAGTCAGCCACTGACAGAGCTTTTTAACAGTAAAGGCTGACTATAAATTCTCATGTCTAGAAAAGAACAGACTGTATTATCCACCAGCTTCTCAAAGGGACACACTCAGTTTGTTGCACAAAACCACAGAAGAGTTCACTGTCCTTCGTAAACACAGGTACTGCAACGTGTCTTGTACATAGGCAAGAGATTGGTTAATGAGTACCTAATTTACCAAAGAGCCCTAAATAATGCTGTTAAGGGAAATTTATGTAAAATCTATATACAATTCTTCATTAAAAAATCATGACATCTATAACAATCCAGAGACCTTCTTGCAAAACAAACAAAACCCCCAAAAAAAACCAAAACAGACCCTCAAATATCTACTCAGGCAGGTATTTTAGAACACCAAGGCAGCATTTCTTCTCTTGCCTTTGAAGAAGCAGTGCACTGAGAATCCTTGGTATACACAAACCACTTCTAAAGCCCTGGATTTCCTTCCTATTTGGTATCTCCACAGCAGAACGTGAAAGGTTCTGATTTTATACAAGGGAAGTTACCTGAGATGTCACCTGATGTTGATCAAAATAGGACAGTTGCTGTAGTTTCGTGAACACGGTCTCTAGGGTTGGAAATGCCTCTTGTTTGGTCTTCCTGGCTTTTTGCCCTTCGTCCCCAACTTAACAGATAAAAAATTATTTTGGTCATTTTATATGCAATGGAGCCCAGGTAGTTTTGCATTATTACTGATTTAAAAGACAATAAAAATCTCAGTAAGTTTTACTCATAATTACATAAAACCCTATTTGCCTCAGTTTTCCACTATACTCGGGACAAACATATGCCACGGGATGTAACAATATCAAAGCTACTTCGAGGTTATTCCGATGCAAAAAGGCGACACTCAAGAAAAACTGAAAACCAGCCACAGTTTTACTAGGAAGGTACGGAACACGCACCACTCCCTGGCTGGTATCTCCCGTTCCAGGCTCTGGCTTGACACAAGCGCAGGCAGCCAAGGGTTCAATGGAAATGGGGATTCCTAAGCACAGTGGCCCTCGGCCATCCCTCACCGCCATGGAGCAGCCCAGTGGATCGCACCAGCCCATCCCAGCCCCACCATAGAGCAGCCCAGTGGATTGCAACAGCCCAGCCCCGCCCCCGCGCAGAGCTGC